CCCCCGGCGGCCACACCCCGCGGCGGGCCGGGGCCGGCGGAGGGAGGGGGCCGGCGCGGGGTGTCTCCGAGCCAGTTCTCGCGGTGCTGGCCAGGCTCAGCCTCCTTCCCCTCCCCGGCGAGCGGTGACTGTGCACGGCGGAGCGGGGAGCGCCGAGCCGGGCGCCGGGGGAGCCCGCGCCGCCCCGCCGAGCCAGGAGGAAGGCCGCCGAGCAGCGCTCCCGCCCGGCCCGTCTTCGCCGCCCTGCCCCATGCCCTAGCGACGCTGAACCTCCCGCAGCCCGAACATGGCCACCACGGCAACGTGCACCCGCTTCACCGACGAGTACCAGCTCTACGAGGAGCTTGGCAAGTACGGAGCCTGCTGTGCACCCCGCGCCGCGCCCCGCCGCCCGCCCCGGCCCCGGGACCCACCGGCGCTGCCGAGAGCACTGTGCCGGCGACCCGGCTCTCTCGGGAGCCGGAGTAGGATTAGCTGTCCCGCTGTAATCCTGTTCTCCAGCCCCCCGTCCACCCCAGCGGTACAGCCGCCGGAGGAAAAGGTGTTCCTGCTCTCTTGGGTCGCCCTCCGCAGCGGGTGTCCCCGTAGGCTGTCTCAGGCTGCGCGCTCCTGTTGCACCCCGATATTTCCTCTTTTCCCTCCTTTCTTTCCTCAGGACCTGGCTGCCCCGTTCCCCTCCCCGCACCATCTCCCAGTTGCACGTTGCTGTCCCTGCAACTGTTTCTGCTTGGGACGCGACACTGTTACAGCCGCTCCGCGATGCTACAGTTTCCACTTCCTTGTCCCTGTGAAAGGACCAGGTGCTGCTGCACCGCGCTTCTCCTCCCTCCCTGCTTCCCTCGCTTCTTCCCTCCCTCCCTCTCTCCGCACTTGTCTCCGCATTGGCAGACTTGCTGCTGCACCCTAGGACAGAGCTTTGCAGGGGAGCCCTATTGGGCAGGAAAGCAGCGTAGAAGGGGCCGGGGTAGAATTATGGGCACTGTGCTTTCGTGGGTGCTGCTGCTTGCTCCCTCCTTTCCTGCACCARCTGCTGGGCTCTGCTGCATCTCTTCTCTCCAGCCCGGTGTCCCTGTCCCTCCCCACACTGCTGCAGCTGTGTGTCACTAAGCCTGGGCCCCGGTGCTCGTGCTCACCTTGATGCTCATTGGTTTGTATGTAGAGGTTGAGGAAGGGGGTAAAAAGGCAGGACTCCGCAATACTGGAAGGATTCAAGCTATTTTAGGCTCCCTGGAGGACTAACTGTATGTGGGGCCGTTGTGCAGCTTCTATTCCCCTTTCTCATAGTTGAAATATGTACATTTGTCCCTAAACCTCTCCCCCCCCGCCCCTCCCCCAATGGGTTTGCATTCCTGATCTGAAGGACTTGGAATTTTCTGCTAGTTTTCTCATATTTGTCCTTTCCCCTTTTCAGGGCTTTTCTGTAAAGCTAGTTGTTATTCTTTACCCACCATGGTTTTTTGTTGTTTTTAAAGATAAGGGGCTGTTTTCAAGTGCTTGTTGTATAGTCCTGTAGATTTTGAGTCCCTATCTTTTCACCTTGGTCTTTATTGTATTCACTCCTTTTCCTCACAGAAATCCTTCCCTCTCTCTTAGACTTCTTGTCCAAGAGGAATTCTCTTTGGAGTAGTTGTAATAATATCAATAGTTTCAGCTTGAGAAAATGTACAAAGCCTCGTYGATTTTTACTCACTTCATTAATAGGTGCATGCTTATCCCCATTTTGCAGGTGGGTTGAGGGACATAAGAGAACTAGTAACTTTACCAAGTGTTGCAGTGATTTTGTGGCCAAGCTTGAACTTGAATATGGGAGAAATGAGCCCTGGTTTTGTGCTGTAACTGCTGGGGATGCTGTCTCTGGGAGATGGACTCCCTGGCTAGTGTTTACAGGGCCATTCTGAGCTGTTTGTCTCCTGTTTAGCAATCCCTTCATGTTCTGTTCCTGTGCCTGTATGGTCTTTCCCCACACAGAGTGCTCTTTCTGCTGCACTGTCTGTGAGGGGGCTTGAGGAGTCCTCTTGCGTACCATATAGACTTAAGTTTTCTGYTGATCAGACAGCATGGATTGTTCATCAGACTCTCAGGTGTTGTGTCCCTCCTCTGTATGTCTTCTGTGCTGTCGTAATCTGGTCCACTCTGGAGACAAGTATTGTTGCTATTATGTTCTCATTTTCAGTTTCATAGCACCCACACTCTTTATCTTTCTTCCAGGGGAGCCTTCTCTGTGGTCCGCAGATGTGTAAAGAAAAATTCTTCACAGGAATATGCTGCAAAAATCATCAACACCAAAAAGCTGTCAGCCAGAGGTTAGTGTCTCTACATTTAGTCTCTATAGTAAAAGAAAAAATACTTCACTGGAGTTGAGTGTAATAAATTTGAGGGATCTGCAGTTCCTTACTTCGGTCATTATTTAAGCATTTCAAAATAATTGAGTTGTGTGGCGAAGAGACTGAAAGAAGGTAGTGTGGGATGATAGAAAAATTCCTGTGTCTGGAAATGGATACTCTGTAAAATGATGTTGTCTTTTTTCTTCTTGAGATCTTTCTTCTTCAAGCTGAGCTAGAGGTAGATTCATCTATGTGTGTGTGTGTACCAATCACTCATAATAATGGGAAGTGTTGCAGACTTACTTTGCTGAATGTCTTTTTTACCTAGGAGATCTGTCTTACCAGAACAGATGTGATTATTTTTTYAAAGATAGATGCTATATACCTTGCTCCTTTCATGCTATAGTTAAAGGTGGTGTCTTTGGAAACTAAAACGTCTACCTTCAAAGGCAGAAATAGGTTGGATGGAGACATCTTGTCCATTTGACTTCTCAGAACAACGGGTTTCTACTTTCATTAGTCCTGGCAACTTACAAAATGTGAAACTAGACTGTAGTGTTATGAAAAGTGAAAAAATCTAATTCTTCTCCAAGCTGTTAGTCTTCCATTTCCCAGRGACGTACGTATGCAAAAAAGGGTAGACCAAAGACATGGTAGACCATGTCGTATGAAGGGGATGTGTATCTTCTTGTGTGTAGGGAATCACTATAGGGATTAAAGTTGCCTTGTAGGTGGGGTGGATGAGGGGGAGAATGAGAGAAACTGAACTGCAGTGAAAGATGCTGAAAACAGCGAATGCAACAAGTTGAGATGCCAGAGGCAACTGTTCCTACAAAAGGTGTACAAGAAAAGTTGTCTTTAGAGGCCTTCAGATTTGACAAAATTAATGTACAAAGCCCTTGACTATTTTGCTAGTTGAGTTGAGGGCTTAGGAGGGGGGTTGACTGAGAAATGAAAGAGAAAAGCATGAGGAGAAAGCAAATGATCTTGATAAATGATTTAGAAGTGAATAATGTTTTGCCTAATCCTTACAAAAAAAAAGAAAAATAGAATATATATTCTTCTTTTTGCCTGACTATGAAATGTGATGATAAGAGCAGAAGACGGCATGAAGAATAGTGAAAAATTTCCATTTACTGTAGTTTGTATGGTTTGTATGAAGAAGTAGTGTCAGTGGTACAGTGCTATGAAGCAGTGATTTTTCTTTTTTCTTTTTTTTTTTTTTTTTTTTTTTTTTATTTTTTTAAATTCTGGAAGCAAGCGTGTGTGCTAAGGTGTTTAGTATTTAGCCTGAGGGAGATTGTGTTGGGGGCCAACCAGCAGAGCCCAAGATTGTTAATGAGGTGGCTGCAGATCTTTTGAGAATCTGTGTCCCCTCAATGGTCACGTGACAGTGCCTGCTGATGTAGGTGGGATATTCAATCTCTTGAGTTCAAAATTAGTTCAACTTAATATGGGAGAGGTTTGAAGAGTGGCTTTGCTTTGCTGCTGGCCATTAATGCTGTGTTTGCTCTGCAGACTTCCCTGTCCATCCTGTAGTGAGGACTAAAGCTCAGGAGAGCCATTTCTCAGATGCTGTTAGTGGACACCAGGCTACTTTGAGAAGGGAGGGTGCAGTTTGATAAACTGATCACAAAGGATAAACTGTTATCTTACAAAGGACAGGATATTGAAGTTAACTCTGGAGATAAGAAAAATGGGAAAAAACTGCAGGCTGAATATAGTGAAAACAAAATTCAAAAACATACTAGCTGAAGTCCAAAACCCTCAGAAAAACTGACTGTATCAGTCTTTAAGTGTTTGGTCATTTAGTGAGTTACAGAGGGGGAAATATATGGATTCTAATTGTTTTTCATAGTATGGTAATGACAGTTTAATGACCCAACAAGTAGGAAAAGTAAGTATGGGTGAATACAGGTTATGCTTTGATCTATACTTACTATGTAGATTTCATACATTCCTATAAATAAAATGCATTGAGGCTGCTAGCCTGGTCCTCAGCTACTTAATTCAAGGCAGCTGGCAAACATATATTTAAAAAGGTATTGGTTAGGTAGGGTAAGTGTGAGGAGAGCTAAGAAAGAAAATGTCTGGTCCTGCTAGTACAGAAGAGTATCAGAAACAAGGGACTGGTCAGGTTGTGTTGAAGTTTTGACTGAGCAATCTGAAAAGTGGATGGTGACTTCAACTGAATATATAGGTTCCTCAGTTATTCCAGCTGTGTTTGCTGAGAGCTCAAGGGCTAAGTACAGAAAGTACTTAGTAAAAGACTGAATRTTTTGATAGAAAGTTACTGAATTCACCTTGGGATAGATCTTTAAAGCATTGAAGGAAAAATGTGTGCTATTTAGACATTGCAGCTGTAAATCAGTGATTAAGGTGACTCAATCCAGGCARCCTGAAATGWAAGTCTTGGGAAAAGGTGTTTTAGAAAGCTGTCTCCCTCAGGAGCAGAATTATGGTGTTAATTCTGCAGTATCCTGGATATGTGTTGCCTGATGTGTCCTTTCCCCAATCTGGCACTTCTTGGTGTGTCCAAGTGCCCATCAGTTCCTGCCCRGGGCTGTCCTGTGCACCCAGCTGCACGCTGTCCATTGTGCAGGGTAACCCACTCTCCTGACCTGCCTCCTCCCRCGCTGCTGCCCTTCTTCTAGGCATGGTGACAGAGCTAGAATATTCCCTTAAGTGGGAGTAGCCTGTCCCTCTCCAACTTAAGCATAGCTACATTTAGCATTTTTTACTGTCTCTAGCAGAATTTGAACCTGTTTGGACACCTGATGCAGTAACTGCTACCTCAAGAGTCAGCATCTTGCTGCTGCTGCAAAGTATGTACAGCCCATTTCTGCCTCACAGAAGTTTTGCCTGCTGTAGTGCTTTCCTTGATTCTGTTCAAGGCAATGATAACAGAGTCTGACTCTCCTCCTGCAGTACTTCTTGTTCCTTGTTTTTCAAGACTTGTGATGAAGAAATACTAGGTAGCTTACTGGCAAGTGCTGGAAAGCTCACTGTATATGGCTGAAAAGGAGTAAGAGGAATGCTTCAGGGTGAATTATATGCAATTAAACGGTAAAGACTTCAAGAGGCATGGTGTTTTACAAGGCATTCTGGTGAAAGCAAGGAGGATGGATGTGGTGCTGGTCCTAACAGCTTCAGTCTAGTAAACTTCACCCTTCATAAAATACCAAGTCAAATGTTGAGAGGAAAGTCTCTCTTTTATATTGTCTACGATTTTTGGATGCCTGTTCTATCTGTTTTTTAATAAGTTTTGTCAGTAAGAGCTGGTCTAAATTAAAATTTATATTTTGGCTTTAATGAAGTATTTGCTATTATTCATGTTGTGTTGATGCCTAAGACTGCCCAGGGAAGACCATGCCAAGAAGTTTCATATTAAATAGGGTCCAAATGCTTGTGGAAAGGAGAGGAAACAGACTTCACCTTAGTCAGCATTCAGCTGACATAGAAGAGCAGTGGTTATTACACATGGGGGAAATACAATGCTTCAGTCATCTGAAATTCCTATGGGATTGAATGCACAGACCTTTACCGGCCCTATGGGTAGAGGGAAGTAGTAACTGTAATTTTTTGAAAGTTGTCTTGTGGCTTTCACCAGAATACTTTTTTTTTTAAACATGAAAATTCATAGCAAGTAGTGGTACAGTGAAGTTCAAATAAAGTAAAATTACTTGCAGTGATCAAAAGATCAAGAGAGAAGCAGTAGCTTTAGTAGCAGTAGGGAAATAGCCCCAATTTGACTCGCCAGCATATACGGAAAGAGGTAGGCAGAGCTTTAGGATTTGATAATTTTTAGGATGTTTTTTACACCAAATAGTATTTAGTGATCCTGCCACCATCTGTAGTATTTCTGCCCATTTTTTTAGGTGCAGGGGGGAAAATCTCTGTGTATTACATCTGTTGTTAAATTTAATTTGCTGTTGAAAATTGATATCTTTTAACTCTTCCAAGTAACATCTCTTGATGAAAATATTAAAAACAGCTGTCTTGTAAGTTAGTCCACTTCASTGTGTTCTCCTTACTGTGTCTTTGYTCTTTGTGAAATAGAGGTGGCTTCTCTCYCTGTTTTCCATCTTTCCAAATTTGTAAACCAGATAAAAATTTGCAGTCTACCCAGTTATTTTGTTGTTGTTCCTGTAGGAGAATATGTGGATTGTGAGAGGAGCAGGGAATTACTTCTGTGTATCAAGTCCTGACAGGAAAAAAACACTCTTTATACTTCCAACTCTGCTTTTTCCCCCACATCACTATTGTCCTGGCTTTTGGTTCTATAGTGGTTGCCGATTTGGGCTTTACAATATGTTTGGTTGAAAGTGTCAGCAGTAATTTCCCTGGACACTGAAACATTGAGGTTGAATACTGCAGAGGAAGTTCAGCAGCATCCGTCACTAATCTCTCTCTTGATCTGTTCTGTACGTGTTCGTAGCTGCTGCTTGCATTAGGACTCCCTTGGACTGCTGTTGACACTGCCAGGTTTGGAGTCCCCTGTGGGGCACTGCACACTGCTGGAACTGGCTGCGTGCGGGGTGCTGCACTGCAGAGGGGCCACTGGCTCTGCCGGGGCGGGTAAGCCCAGCACCCGCTCACAGGTGGCTCAAGAGCAAAGCCAAACTCATGTAGAAATGTCCTGTGATAGGTGTCCTCGGTGTGTTCCTGTGTTTGCAGGTTGAGGACAAATGTCCTTTCTTGCAGAGGATGGCAAATCAAACCATGTCTGCTCAGCCGTTCTTGCTGAGCAGCCAAATCATGTCCACTCCTTTGGTGTGGGAGAGAAGCTGCCCTTCCTGCAGCATGGGCTGAGTGCAGAGCTTCCCTCCACCCCAGCTCCACCTTGTGCCTCCCCTTTGCTGCCGGAGGAAGTCTGGGAGATGCTGTGGTTGGGGAGCATATATAGCAGACCAGCTGCAGTGTGTTGGAAATTTTTGGAGGTCTTTGCACACATGGAGGGATGTAGGGAGCAGAGAGTTCTGCACACTCAGTATATGAG